GGAGAAGATAAAGGGATTATAGCTTGCTCCTCACGCAAGCAGGTCAGGGTTCTTTCTCTAAGAGCAAGTATATGTTCAGTCCTTACCAAGGTAGCCCTTTCTGGAGTAGTCATTAAACCGGAAGTTTCCCATTTCTACAGCTATAGCCTTTAGAGGTGGTTTTGTTCTTTGAGGCTACACAGGTGATGGCAGCTGTCACGTTTCCTTCTGACTTGTTCCCCTCTTTAAAACCCTTTTCTAGTCCTTTCCACACTCAAGAGGCTAAGAGTTCAGATCCTTGACTCTCACTTAAAGATGCCTATAGAATCACAGTAGAAACGGGCACTCTCATAGAAGAGACAAGAGCTTCTCATCTGGTACCCTGCACTCCTGAGTCAGGAGAGTCATGTGAGCCGGGTTTAAAGCGAGTCTTGGCAACACCGTAAGAATCACCCTAGGCCCCATGTCAAAAAAGCAAAAACTGTTAAACAAAAACAAAAACATTTTAATGACAGAGTTTCCTATTGGGGCCTATTAGTTCAGAGAATGACTACTTCCATCCTCATCTGAGAACAATGAAAGCTGGTTTTCTTAGGGGACAGAAAACTCTATGTCTGTCTGTCTGTCTGTCTGTCTGTCTGTCTGTCTGTCTTCCTTTCCTAATATACATGAGTGTTATGGTGGTTTGAGCAGAATGGCCCCCAGCGGCTTATTATATGTCTAAATGCTCAGTCCCCAGCTGGTAGAACTGTTTGGACAGGACTAGAGGGTGTAACCTTGTGGAAGGACGTGCGACTTTAATGGAGGAGGTGTTGCCTTGTTGGAGCAAGTGTGTCACTGGGGGAGGGCTTTGAGGTTTCAAAAGTGCACACCAAGGCCAGCCAGTCTGTCTGCCTGTCTCTCTCTCTGCCCCCAACTTGCAGATTGGATGTATGCTCTCAGTTCCAGCACCTTGTTTGCCTCCTGCCATGTTCCACCACTGGGTTTTGGGCTCGCTTCCTGAAACATAAGGAAAACCTCAATGGAATGCTCTCTTCTGTAAGATTGTCATGGTGTCTCATCCTAGGACTACAGAAGTAAGCCAAGCGTGTTGCCTGTGTGTGCACCATATTCATGCATAGTGCTCCCAGGGTTGGCAGAGGGATGGATCCCCTAGTCCTGGAGTTATGGACAGTTGTGAGCTTCTGGGAACTGAACCCAGGTCTTTTGCAAGGGTAGCAAGTGTTCTTAACTGCTGAGTCATCTCTCTGGCTCTCCATGTTTATCCCTGCCCCTGTTTTTCTCCAAGCCTCTCTCTATTTCTTAGAAGGCACCTAGTACTTGAACAGAAAACTCTATTCCCCCCAATGGGACATTAAAATAATTACTACCATTGTGTATATTCATGTGACCTGGTTGTGTGTGTGTGTGCACGTGGGAGTCGGAGGACAACTCATGGAGTCATTTTTCTCCTTTACCTTTATGTGGGTTCTAGGGATTGAACTCAGGGTGCAGGCTTACACAGAAAATGGTTTTTTTGTTTGTTTTGTTTTTCCCATTGAGCAATCTCCTCAGCCCTTTCATGAAATATCTTAAGAATACTAGTGTTTTGTGAATCAAATTCTAGGAAGCTATGGTTTCAGATAGGGTGTAAAGTCTTAGACTAGATATGGGTGATGATTTTAATTGTAACTAAACATTTGAAGTTATGCTCTCACTGATTCCTATTGGACCCTCGAGCTGGTAGCTGAACATGACGATGTGGTTTTCTTTTCTTTTTTTTTTTTTTTTAAAGATTTTATTTATTTATTATGTACATAGTGTTTCCTTGCATGTTTGCCCACAGGCCAGAAGAGGGCATCAGATCTCAGTACAGATGGTTGTGAGCCACCATGTGGTTGCTGGGAATTGAACTTAGGACCTCTGGATGAACAGTCAGTGCTCTTAACCTCTGAGCCATCTCTCCAGCCCACGATGTGGTTTTCTTTCCCAGAGAGCTGGTAGACTCTTCCTTCCCTCCCTATCCCCTCTCCCTTCCTTTGATGTTGGCATCAGACACCCACCCACCTGCTTGAGCAAGCTGAGGTATAGGCCTCTCACATGGGGAATCTGGGAGTCTAAACCTGCTTACCCCCCAGGATGCTATACTTTTGTAGATCTGACTGTGGTGGGTATTGCATGGAAGGTACAGCCTAGCTTGGACAGAAGGTAACTGAGAGTTTTGGCTAAGAGAAGAGGGGGCTAGAGATGGGAAAAGTTGATGCAATTATTTTTGGCAGGAGTTGGAACCAAAGCAGCAGGAGAGAGTAAGTTTTAAGGCTCTCTGGCAAGGAAACTTCCTAATCTGTCACTGAGTATGTGTAAAAAAGTGATTAGTAGGTCTCTATATTTATCGTGATTACTCACAAATACATAATTTACATAATATATACAGCACATTAAGTACTATGTCACCTTATATAATGTGCATATGTATAATATATATATGCATGTTATATAATGCCAGTCTGGAGGCTCTTACAGGTTCTGCCAAGTATTTCCTAATTTATTTGGCAATTTTCACGTATTTTTTTCCCCATCTGTAGAATGAACTCTCTTGAGAGGAGCCGGTCTGTGACCTGAATATAATCGTCCTACAAAGTGTGTCTCTGCTCTCAACTCACTGGGGAAACCCCATGAAAACCACGCCACATTGAGCCACAATCCCTGGCCCATCAGCCCAGCAACAAGAAGGCACACTGAAAGCTTCTTGTTTCATTGTTTTTATTGCTAGTGGGGTGGAAGCATGAAGGCAGGTGAGAACATGTCTGCAGCATGGGAAGAACCCAAGCAGGAGAACACATAAGGGACCAGGCTCTCCCCTGACGGTGTAGCTTTAAGAAGCCACTAAACACCAGAAAGCCCCATTCTCAGCAGGGTGGAGATGATAATACTTTGCTTGCTAGAACTTGGGAGCGAGGGTCACTAAGATGCACTATACAATAAGAAACCCTAGCCAGGGTGTTTAAAGAATGACTTGTAAGGTAAGATTAAACCGCAAAACAAGACTTATTAAGATAAGCAAATCAGAATCGCAAATGGCATGGTGTTTTGTATACTCTGTGCCTCTGAGAGGACCGGGCTGTGTCTCTCAGGTAACATTCAATGTCTACAGGGCCCCTTCACAAGACTTGTGAGTCTCTGGAAATACATTCACCTATCGATGGTGCTGCCTCAACCCATAATCCTGGGGGGATTGGTGCTGAAACACAAACACATCTGTAAATGTCTTAGAATCAGTGACCCAGAAGCTGAACCTCTGACAGTTTCAGAAACCAGTGCTGTCCAAAATAGTACCTGGTGTCGTTTGGGAGCTTGGGGGTTGCATCACCAAACGTCCCATCAGTGTGTGCTTTAGGTGGTCTGGGTTCTCCCTTGCTCAGCAGAAGCATGTTCAGTTAAGCAGGATGGTCCCTAGTCTCAGCCCTCCATTTTAGATGACGACTTCCTTCAGAGGTTCCCTTTGTACACATTCCTCACGTTCCCTTCCTTGTCCACTGCAAGGAGGCAGCTCAGTGGAGCCATGTCTTTTGGGCCAGGTTTTCTCTTGAGAAATCAAGGCCCAGGTGAGCCAGGGGGCTGAGGCAAAGGTTGCTTTCCAGCAACGATGCTCTGTGTAGAGTTACCCTCCACAGAGGGGGGTGCTGGCACCAGCTGAAGGAAGCCCACCGAGCGTGACAGAGACTGTTTTGTCTTCATTGTCAACATCTGACATCTTCACTGAAGTCACATCGGTAGTCAGGAATGTTTCCAAGGCAAGAAGGTCGACGAGGTGACATGGGAACTCAATCAGATCATCTGTCTGGGGCCTTCAACTTGAGGACAACTTCTCTCCATGTAGGACAAACCATGGAGAACTTGGGAAGTAGTTTAAGTCTCCACGTCCCATTTTCTTGTGTGGGCCCGCTCCATCCATGCATAGGCTAACTGATGGTTCCTCCCTGACAACCTGGATCCAAGTGCAACCACTTCTTGGTGACCAGAAATGACCCTATTCCCAGATGAGGTTTCTTTCGTCTATTAACGATCTTCTTAGTAACCTTTACAGTCCAAATCTCATTAGCCAGGATTCCTATGGAGAAGCCTTTTAACTTTTCCACAGCTCAGTTTTCTTATCAGCCAATGTGGGAATAAGCCTCAAAGAGAATGTGTTTCGTGGTTGCTCCCTGGGTCTAGCTCATTCTAACCAGCCAGGGAAATGTGTCTCTACCATCAAATGATGGTCAGAGAGGAGGAACTTCCTTTTCTCTTTCCCATTTTCTGTTCCCAGACTATCTAGGTTTATTTCTAAAGAGGAAAAGTCCAGCAGTAAATAAATATTTATATATTATGTATAAATATTTATGCTACATATGTACATATATAAGACCCCTCAGAAGGTCCTCTGTCACACTGTGAGAGTGGGAAGTGCAAAGAAAACAGGCAATCTCCCGATGGGCATCTCCTAGTTCTCCCTGCAAAGCCCCCCCCTTCCTGCCATCTCTGCCACCAGGGCTTGGGATTCAAACAGGAGATTCACTTTGGCTTGTGTGGTAGTGAGGCTGGGGAGTACCGCGAGTGGTTCTTCTTCTCTTTTTACACAGTATCATGACATCGATTTCAAAAATAAAGTCCACTTTCTCAGTTTTCCCTCCCGGTGTTCACAGACACTAGGAAAATAAACACCACATCTGAAGTAGCCTGCCCAGGCAGCCATATTTGTTCTCTGAGCAAACAGCCGCCAAGAGATGCTTCAGGGAGCGAACAAGTGCCCATAGGCAGCCGAGAGAACCGAGAATGGAAACCGCTTTCCTGGGCTTCTTGGCTTTTCCTCAGCAAGTGAGGAGGGGAGGAGCTGCTGCTTGAAGGACAAGGAAGAAGCCGTCGTGTGCTTGCTGAGCTCTGCCAAGGGTTTTGCTTGGAGAGCTGGAGGCTGTTTTGTTTCTGTACAGAGGACTTTTGTGCAAAATTTCTGGGTTGGAGTGCTTTCTCTTGACCACATCCGATCTCATGTAGGCAGGGAACGTACAGCCTGGAACCTTACAGGAGTTGAAGGAAAAAAAAAGGGGGGGGGGTGGGATTTCTCCTTCAGGCTCAGAGTCTACCCCAGGCCTGTGGGAATGTGGAAGTGGCTATGGGAGCCAACCCATCCTGGTGGGCCCTGCGTCCATTCAAAATAGTTCATGGGTATTGGTTCTGTTAAGAGTGGATCCATTTTCAAAACAGGTAGACTGTACGGCAGGACGACACTTTCCTCTGGGAGGGTGGTTTGACTTCCTCTGGCTACAGATGTGTGTCTGTGTGGTGTGTGTGTGTCTGTGTGTGTGACTGTATGGTGTGTATGTGTGTGTGGTGTGTGTGTGCATGGTATGTGTGTGTGGTGTGTGTATGTGTGCATGGTATGTGTGTGTTTGTGTGTGTGCGCATGTGTGTCTGTGTGATGTGTGTGTGCACGTGTGTAGATTCTTCTTGGTAGAGCTGGTGTTTGTTTGTCACTCTCTTTAGTCTTTTGAACGGCTTTTCCTCCGCAATGAAAAGAAGCTGCTCTTCTGGGGAGGCCCCATCATCATAGGTGCCTGGTTTTTGTGAGTGATTTTAATCTGAAATAAAGAAATAGCGATAAATTAATGGTAATGCAAGAATCCAGCACCTCAGGGGAGAGTGGACCGTGGGAAAGAAAGGAGACCAGCTTTGCAGAAGGACAACTGTCCTTGAACAGTTTCAAAATTGGCAACTTGACCCTGACTGGGCCTGGAGTTTGGCACTGCTGGAAGCGAGGGGCGGAAACATGGGGGAGAGACAGGTGTGAGCTTCCCACGTGGCCATCAGCTCGCACCTGTCCTCTGTCCTTGCTATTCATAGATTGTCAGAATGTCACAGCCAGAGGAGACCTCAGGAACATTCCCATTCACCCCTCTGTAGGACGGGTAAGGAGGAGGCGCCCAGAGCTCTGGCGGGTTCTTAGCTCAGCCCGAGGTCACATGGCAGAGTGGCGGGTGGTGGGCAGGAGGGCCACAGCATCGCCTCCATATCCCCCAGTGCCGACTCAGCCCAGGCAGCAGACATATGTCAGCCAGTTGATCTGAAGGCTTCAGACTTACCTCTGGCCAAGCAACCTCAGAGTTGGACAGTTCCCAAATGAGTCCCTTGAGTATATGCTCTTTGCTTAGACATACCCTATTTTCTTGGATAAGCTTCTTAATTTTTTTAATTTTAAGGTTTATCATTTTATTCTATAAACATTCCGTTAATTATAGACATGTCTCCAAAACTCTTAATTCCTATTTGAATGTGGCCTGGTGACACTCCCACACTAATACTCGGTGTTATCACTCCATCGACATTTATCAAGTGTGATCCATGTTGGGAGTGGGTGGGTGATACGGGAACAGGAGGTACTTAGGATTCAAAGACTTGGGTGTGGGGCCGTGTACTTCTGTTTCCTTGCTGCAGAACTTTGGACAAATAACTTATCATTCAGAGAACAGCGCTTGCCAAACTTCAAAGTAAGGATAACATTGATACTATTTCCTTACACAAAGATCATATGACAAGACTGTCGACGAACGGCCATTGTAAACTGTATAATGGACGGGAATGGCTAGGTGTTATACGGGAGAAAGACAGAATGGGTGCCAGAGGAAACACAACCTGGAAGCTCAGAGCGCTATGGACCTAGTCTTGCAGTTTTTACCGTACTACTGTAAGTCACGAAAAAAAGTAGACAAATTATCGAAGAGCAACCCATCATCAATTTTAAATGAATGTAGCATTAGCTAGGGGGTCTTAATTAAGAAACGTCTGATGAGAGCAGGAGGCTTCTTATAATTTGAAGGTAAGGAAAAGGAGAAACGGGGCAATGGGGTAGAGGAAGCATGTATGAACAGGCTGAGCTGAGCGCAAAGGACTGTGGGAGAGCCGGCAGTTAGTTGATATAGGACTGTAAAGGGAATGGCAAGACTGGGTTCCTGTGAGGTAATCAGAAACGACAAAACACGGCTGTATATAAGATGACAGAGAGGACTGGACAATTATTTAACAGTTGTCATCAGAGAGAGCTAGAGTGAGATGTCCAGCAATGAGGACGCCGCTATAAGGCTCACAGAAGGCTCCAAGACCGAAAAGAAAAGGATGGACGTGAGAGACACTGGACCATCAGCACAGTCTGACGATAGCACTGAAATGACTGTCCTCTTGTTTTTCTCCAATCTGGAAATTTTCTGGCAGACGATTGGATCAAGAATCCATCAATTGCCATTTTGTGTTCTAAGCGGTTATGGTTACGTTTGCTGCGGCTCTGGAAGCGAGGCAGAGATGGGGACTCAGCGGCACCTAGCCAGAGCCAGCTCTTGCGCATGCTCTGCTGGTAGAGATTCGTGACACAGGCTTTGGGATAAACCTTCTCTCTCTGCTGAGCTCAGATGTTCATTTGAGGAAGACTTCTGTCTCCTCACTTTGATATCCCTGAACGAAGCGGATGTTTGCTGGGAGACTGTGCTAGGGAAGAGGAACCAGGCCAGAGAAAAGAGCATTTTCCTGGCATTCAAGATGGCCATGCTTTAGGAAAGCGGGTAGCAGCTGTGCACGTTAGGAGAGAAGGCCCTTGCTTCTTTCTCTGCCTCTGACTGAACTAAGTCTTGCCTGTTAGCACCTCCAAAGCTAAGGGAGGAAGTAAAACATAAATCTGTTTTTGCAACTTTTTGTGTAGCTCTGGCTGACCTAGAACTCTCTTACGTGGCCCAGGTGGGCCTCAAATTCATGGTGATCCTCCTTCATCTCCACTGTGAGAGCTGGGATTGTAAGTGGGCTCTGTCACGCTCAGGCTTCTCTGAAATTTTAACAAATATGCCAGCAGGGTAGGTGGTTGGAATGTCTCTTAAACATGATAATTTGGTCACTGTTAGTATTCAGGCATCTTTATTGGCCTGCCCTTGGGGTCCTGACAGGATACACTCTCAGCTACAACCACTAAGGGCATCCCCCTGTGCATATTCGCTATATTCCTTTTTAAAAGGTGGGCCTGCCTACCTCCTATCTTTTTCTTTTCTCTCCCTCTCTTCCCTCTCCCTGTTCCTCTCCTCCCTCTCCCTCACTTCATCTCTCTCTCTTCTGCAACTCTTGCCCCAGGGACTGGTCTCTGCCCCCTTCTTTCTTAAAGTAATCACAGAAGAAAGGGGCCTTCTAATATATATATACATATATATATATGATCTAATAAAAGATATATTATCATCTTTTAAATCAGATCTGATGGGAGTGGTGGCAGACACCTTTAATCCCAGTGGGAGGCAGAGGCAGGAAGATCTCTGTGATCTCTGAAGCCAGCCTGGTCTACAAGAGTGAGTTCCAGGACAGACAGGGCTGTTACACAGGGAAACCCCGTTTCAAAAACAACCAACCAAACAACCTTAGGTCTTGCTGGGTTCTCTAAGACCTTGGAATCCTCTTTCAGGAGCGTTTTCTAGCACCTGAGGCCTTCGCGACTGTGACAGTCAATGATCGACTGGGCAGAATTTAGAATCACTGTATCCTGATTATGTTTAATTAAAGAGGTGAGACTCGCATATACGTGGGCACCACAGCCTGGCTCGGGCCCTGGACTGTGTCAGTGGAGCAAGGGAGCAGAGCAGAAGGGCACCTTCATCTCTCCCTCTTTCCTTCCCCCCACACTGTGGATGTCACGTGACCAGTTGTTTCCTGTTCTTGTTGCCTTGACTGTACCCTTGAACTGTGAACCAGAAGCTGATTTTGTTCAAGTATTTCATAGCAACAGAAAAACAAACTACGACAGGCTTCGAATGTAGTGGGGACAGCCAGGCTACACAGGAGTAAGGCTGACTGACCAGTGGGAAGGTTTAACCGCTAGGAGGTTTGCACGCATTGGTCCCCGAACCTACAGCGTCAGTGCCTCCCTGGAACATAGAGGAGAGCCCGATTCTTGGGCTGCCAGACCTCCTAGATTAGAACTCTAAGAAGTGTTCCAGTCACGCGAATTTTAACCTCCACTCCAGTCCCACAGTTCACCAGACTGAACAACTGTGGTCATTTCCAACTTAATGATTTAACTACTATCCGACTTTAGAAGGAGATTCCTTTTAAATTTTACTTTTTGAGACACAGTCTCATGTACCCAGGCTGGCCTCCAACTCATTATGTAGCTGATTACCTCAAACTTGTGATCCTCCTGCCTCTACCTCCCTGGTGCTCAGATTATAGTGTGAGCAATGATGATGGAGCATGGGATGCTATTTTACAGCATTGTGTAAAGCAAACATTCTTAATAAATATATATGTTACATATGTAGCTATGTTTCTCTATATAAGCAGATATCTGTTATTAAAAGTTTGCGTTCTTGGTACACTGCTTTAGTTTATTTCCATGCTTTCGTGTCTTGACTAAAACTGAAATCAGCATCTAGAACTGCTGTGCTTTGATATTATTTTGCCAGTGCTTTAGTGTCCTCTATATTTAATTTTAAAATAAGCTTATCTTTAATTACTTTACCTTACTCAGCTTTGGAGAGTGAACCCAGGGCCTTGGCTATGTGAGGAAAGCACTGCCCCATGCACTGCACCTCCAGTTCTGAAAATTTTATCAAATTTGTACTTTAAGTGTCTAAAAATTATTCCATCTGATGAATATAATGTAGTTTATTTAAAACTCTTCAGGGCTGGTGAGGTGGTTCAGTGGTTATGACCATCGGCTGCTCTTGCAGAGGACCTGGGGTGGCTTACTTAGTGGCTACTCTCTCTATAACTCCAGTACCAGGGGATCTGGAACCTTTTCTGCCCTCGAGGGGTATCAGGCAGGCACACAGTCCACATACATGCATGCAGATGAAACACTCATACACATAAATTTTACAAAAGTTTTTAAAAGCTTACCTCCTCACTAACTGTTGGGCTTTTGTGAAAAATTCACTTTTTGCTTCGCTACATGAAGCAGAAACTGACATTCTTATCCAGCTATAACTATATTTTCAAGACATTTTTATTTTATGTTTATGAGTGTTTTGCCTATATGTCTGGGCACCGCGTGCATATAGCACCCACAAAGGCAAGTAGAGGGCATTAGGTCCCCAGGAACTGGAGTTAGAGACAGTGGGAGCCATCATGAGGTGGTGGGAACTGAACCTGGGTCCTCTGCAGGAACAGCAAGTGCTCTTAACTGCTGAGCCACACAGTTCTTCCTGATACATGGTTTAAGTAGCAATCCAGAAAAGCTGGGCCACCTCATTCTCCTGTCTTACTAAGTGTGAGGCCTTACCACGTCCTTGACAGAAGCAAATGTTTTCTTAAAGTTTCTTGGCATATGAAGAATTACATGGTGTTCAAACTGTCTTAATTTGAAAAATCTTCCTTCTTTAAAAGCCAGTGTTATCATATATGACTCCATAGGTTAATAGCCTGTGTCATCTTATCTGCAAATTGTCCATTCTTCCACTGTTAGCACTTTTTTCTACTGGGTTCCAAGTGTTTTTTTTTTTTTTTTTATCATTTATTTATTTATTTATTTATTTATTTATTTATTTATTTAGTATAAAAACTAGCCTGCTCTTTTGTATTGCTATTGTAAACAGTTTGCCCTTAGGCTTTTGAA